TTTCCGCTCCTTTTTATACTGCATCAGAGATCACAAACTGGGATTTTCACAGGCATGTACCTCTTAGGGTTGAGATCAAGTCTATCCAGATCCCATCGAAATTGTTAAATCTATTGCATTCATATGAATGACCCAGTCCCTCTGTTTTCCAGGATTTTCTACCCTAAAAGTGCCAAAACTCATTAGGCAACTCCTTGTTTGGTCTGTAACTTCCCTGGACACCCACCTTCGCTTGTTCAGACAGTCTCAGCAGGCTCTGGGGAGACAGGCCCATTTCTTTAAGCACTGCAAACAGGGTTTGGTTCCTGCCTAAACAAGAGGCTCATGAGCTGCATGACTGGAGACGGCAAGGAGCACTCTTCTGTCCTCTTTCCCATACCCCTGACTCTTCTCCCTCAGCTCTGGACCCTTCTTGCCAGCCAAGTCCATGTCCCCTGCCCAGGACGGGAAGAACGAGGCTGGTTCTGCCTCTTCGCTATCTCCCTTCTCAGGAGAGCAGAAACTTCTTTTCCCTTCTGTCTTTGCCCATCCCTTCTTACACGAATTCAGAAGGCACTTTTGAAGACAGGGAGATCATTTACAAACCCTTGCCTCATCATCAGGATAATGGGAAAGTGTCTGTGGCCTCCCAGAAGTAAGAGACAGCATTTCCAAGATGTCATTTCCAATGATGTGGTATTCCAAGATGGTGTTTCACCATTCTTTCCATCTCCATAGCTTTCTGTGATTCAGGATTTGAAATGGGTTTAGTGGTTCTCCTAAAGGAGGGTTTGCAAGACTGGGAAGGCTTTGCAGCCCCTGCCATCCAGGTACAAGGAACCGTCCAGACACCACATGTCCCCTCCTAGGTTACAATGGGATTGTCGTCCCTGTCCCATGTGAATAAAATATAAATTTCTAGACTTGCCTTGAAGCTACTCCCTGTCACCCTCCAAAGTAAGATGGGCCAAAGGATTTGAAATTCCAGTTTTCTTCCATGGGGATGTTCGTGATTTTCTCACTTCTTGAAGACGCTGTTAGACAAGGGTAAAGAGAAAATGATTGAAGTTTAGGTTTCCAATTTCCTACCTCACACTAGATTCTTCCACAGAACAAAGGAGAACAATTCAGAGTCCTTTATGGGATACAAAGGATTTGTCACACTTGAAACAGGAGTTGACTAGAGTCCCCAGGATTCAAAAATGGGCATTTTCGGTTCTTACCAACAAAAAAAAAGTGGAGATGAGAATGATTTGGTATTTACAGCCAGAATAGAGGAGGATTTGACATCTTCCCAAGCATTCTTTAGAACTACACTAATTCATTAAACCAGCAGGCATATTTTGGACATGACAGCACGGTGTTTCTAATTTCAATACAGTTAGTTAATAGCTGTTTTTAAAGTCATTCTGAATGCACAGTGAACACATATAACTAATGTGATCAAGAGAGAGAAAAGGACCAGGTATAGAAGGATGCATTTTTTCAAGAAAATTGGACTTGCAACTTCTTCTCCGAGAAAATTGAGGAAGAGCTTATTTGCCTCGTAGGCTGTGAAGTTCTGGAAAGGATGAAGAAGGTAAATCTAGAACACTGTTGTACAGCTTTCCACTGCGAACAGCTATTCATCAGCAAGTGGAAGTAAAATTTGACACTTTAGCAGTTTGCATTTAACAGACAGAATAAAGAAGTAGTATTGTTATACAGTGATGGAAGCAGTAGAGAAAACACTTGAGTCTAATTCAGGTGGTGATTTTTTTAATCAGTGTCCCCAACTGGTAGCAAGTACTTTCATGTCTTGACGTGAAGTGCTGATAGTGTAAATCTATTACACAAGACTATTTTCAACTGACTGTATGCTTGGATACGTTTGGAAACACACCTGTGAACAGAGAAGGGCCATTAAAACAGAAGATGGTGGGTTTATGCACTGAGACCACTCGCTCTACTACAGTGAGGAGCACGGATGCTGCCAGTGTAAGGCTGTTAGTTCTTCTGTGGAGATTTTAAAAATGAGGAAGGGGTTTACTGCATTGAAGCCAATGGATGATGTGATCTCAGGGAAAGCTGTTAACCAAATCTCAAACAGTAACAGAGTTACTTTACCTAAAATTAGGGATCCCAGAAGATTCAGCCTCTTTGGGGTAAAACCAGAAATGTTTTGCTGTTGAATATGTTTGCATGCACTGACTGCATAGCTAACAAAGAAAACTTCAGCACGCCCTGAATGAAAATTATACCGACACTTACAGTATATATTATACATATTATCAAAAGATAAATGTTCAGTGATCACCAATACACAGAGGCTGAAAGGTAAATCTTGATCTGCCAACTTGGGGCAGAGTTGGAAGCGTGCTGGCACAGCACCACAGACACAATGGAGCCATGCTTTGAACTCAAGGAACAGTGAGGGAGACCTGGATGTCTGCAAGTGTTTGGCTGACCTTTCTGTGTGGTTAATATTGCACAGAGTTTGTTAGACTGTCTGTTAGAAAAAAAAAAATTTGGCTGGGAGCAGTGTGAGATTGTGTTGTCCTAAAACATGAAAACAAGCTTTCTCTGTAAGAAAAAAAACCCAAGCAACTGGTGGCCACAGTGTGCATTTTCTGACATTTAGACTTAAAAAAAAAAAAAAAAAAAAATCTTTCATCTGGCAGATATACAGGACAGGTGAAGTGACAGCTTTGTGCCAGAAACTTATGGCCAAATTTCATCCCTCAAAAATAGACTAATAACTTCAGGAGCACAGTCACTGTAGGCTTCCTGGACAGTTTTTGGAGAAGGTAGCCACCTCCAGAAGTTGAGAAAGATCTTAGCTAGGCTGACTTACACTAACACCATAAGGTTATTTCTTTCCTTTGACTACTGAGAGGCTCTGGAAGAAACAAGCTCTTAATGAAGGAGCTTCAGTTAAGTGCCTGCTTATTGGTGCTGCCTAAGTATAAATAGGATCGTTCTACATTTTAGTTAATAATTAGTAAACGAAAAGAGAACATAACAAGATACATTTTTAAATCTCTTGTGCCCCCAGATACCCAATGAAGCTTTTTTTCCTTAAATGTCAGCAATGGATTTAGCATCACTAATACCCAGTTTTAGGCTGAGGTATTTCTGAGGCACGTCTCTACATCCTGATTCTTAAAATACTTTGGCAGTGAGCTCCAGTGAAGGCATCACGCTTCCACTGAAATCAGGTCAGTGGCTGAGCGGGAGCCTGGCTCTTCACTCCTTGCGCAGGGACAATGGCAGCAGCAGGGCCGTGCATTGAACAACTAATTTCCAGCTTCTGCAAGTAACTACCCCGTGAGGCTAGCACCCTTTTCTGTTGCTGCAGCTCCGTTGCTCAAGCTCAAGCTGTCATTTACTTAGACTGTAATGAAATTTCAGCAGTCTGTCAGACTGCACCTGGCAGCCGATGGCCAGCCCTGGCTCTGGGCCTGCCATCCCCCTGCTCCCACCTCACAAACTTCCTCCCTTAGGGATGGGGTGCTGATGGTCCCCTGGGCTGTTCAGAGCTTCAACCCTTTGACACAGGAACGAATTCATTACCACCAGTGGAAGACTAACTGCAATCCTGTCCGCTACATCTTTGGTCTCTTCTTTAAAACCAGCACAAAACAACCCCTGAACCCAAACTGAATCAGTGCAGGAAAGGTGGAAGTTGGAAGTTCTAGGAACAGGCACAGCAAACACCCTGCCTGCACTTGGGAGGTGGGAGAGCCCATCACGTGCAGGAGAGGAAACCTTCAGCAGATCACAATTGGCATTTAAATCCATCGACTCATTATTAGCGATTACCTGTAATTTTCCCCTGAGGGTACTTATTTTCAAAAAATAAAATGAAATTATCGAAATTCTTTCATTACGTAGTTAAACAACAACTTTATCTCCTGGGAACATCTCCCTGCCCTTAACAGCCTGCCTAGTAGGTGTGCTTTATTCTTAGACATCCCAACTCACGTTAACACAACTGAATACCAGGTTTTTGCAATGTGTTGAGCTATTTCTCACTTTTCATCCCTGGTCGAATTGTTTTGTCTGACGGAGACAAGAACAGACCTGCCTTTGAAGAGAGGTCCATGCATCATGCCTGCTCAATTGGTTAAAAAGCGTAACTCAATAATCAAACTTAGCTCAATTTGTTTCCTCCAGGTAAAGATCCGTGAGGCATTTCTAATTGGAACTTGTTTTTCATCCAGTAAACAGCCAAATACACTAACCTCCTACTCCAGAAAAGAAAAGTGTTATTACTGGGAGGTGACAGTCCATGAATTACTGGGGAGGGGCGAGGGGGCTGAGTGTATGATGTCCTTGGATAACGAGCTTCTCTTTAATTACTGTTGCATGAGTTCGCAGATGCGATGTCTCTTGTCAAGGTAGCACGAAGGAAACACAATGTGAAGGAAAAATGAATTTTATTTCCTCGCCTTTCTCACCTCCACCCCCGCCCCCGGGCCCCGCGGATCGCCCCCTCCCCTCGGCCCCGGGCTCCCCGGCGGTGGGAGGGGAGGGGGGCTAGGCGCAGCCCCCCAGAGGGGATGGATCCGGCCGTCGGGTCCCTCCGTGGGCTCCTCAGAAAAGCCGTTTCGGGGAAAGGGAGCAGGGCAGCGGCGAGGGTCCCGCCTCCGAGGGGGGCACCGGAGCCCCGGCGAGCTTCGGGCGCCCGGCGAGGCGGGCGGAGGGCGGGGGGGGGGGGGGGGCCGCCCCTGCCGCCCTTGGACGGGGATCTCCGCCCTCAGGGGCCGTGGGAGGGTGACAGAGGTGACCCCGGAGGGAAGGCAGAGCCCCCCGAGGAGCCCCCGCCCCGCTGCCGCCCTCTCCCACCCGCCCGCCCCGTCTCACCCCTGGAACCCGCCCCCGCAGGCAGCTCTGCCCGAGGGAGCCGGGCGGGGAGGATGCAGGCGGCAGCTCCGAGGTAATTATTAATAGCCGTGCCCACCGGGGCGGGAGAAGGGGGGGGGGGACAGGGGAGGGGGTGGGAGAAGCGAGGTGAGATAAAAGGGGGCGGCGGGGGGGCTGGGAGGAGGGAGCCGCCGTCGCGGAGCCCCGCCGGGAGCATGGTCCCCGCCGCGCCGCCGCCGCTCCCGCCGCTGCCGCTGCTGCTGCTGCTGGGGCGGCCGCTGCTCGGGGCGCCGGGGCAGGGCGCGGGCACCTGGTCCCGCTTCGCCCGGCTGCCCTACCCGCAGGACCAGCTCTTCCTCCACGACACCTTCCCCGACGGCTTCCTCTGGGGGGCGGGCAGCGCTGCCTACCAGACGGAGGGCGGCTGGCGCCAGGGCGGCAAAGGCCCCACCGTCTGGGACACCTTCGCCCACCGCCCGGCCACGCCGCCGGGGTCCGTCCCGCCGGGCCCGGCGGGCGGCGACGTGGCCAGCGACAGCTACAACAACCTCTTCCGCGACGCCGAGGGGCTGCGGCGCCTGGGGGTCTCCCACTACCGCTTCTCGCTGGCCTGGGCCCGGCTGCTGCCCAACGGCACGGCGCCCCTCAACCCCGCCGGGCTGGCCCACTACCACCGGCTGCTGGGCCGCCTGCGGGAGCTGGGCGTCGAGCCCGTCGTCACCCTCTACCACTGGGACCTGCCACAGGGCCTGCAGGACGCCTTCGGCGGCTGGGCCAGCCCCGTCCTGCCCCAGCTCTTCCGCGACTACGCCGAGCTCTGCTTCCGCCATTTTGGCGGGCAGGTGCGCTACTGGCTGACCATGGACAACCCCTACGTGGTGGCCTGGCACGGCTACGGCACGGGGCGACTGCCGCCCGGCGTGCGGGGTGGCCCACGCCTCGGCTACCGGGCGGCCCACCACCTGCTCCAGGTAAATTTTGGGCGGCGGGAAGGGGCCCCGGCGGCTCCTCGGCTCCCCCCCACCCCGCTCTCCGCGTCGTGCCAAGGGGAAGGGCGCGGGGGGCTGCCCTCAGCCCGCCCCGTTGGCAAGGCCTGTTCCCTGGGCGGCTGCTGGAGTGGAAACCGAATCGATGTGCCCGACTCATGGGCTAAGGGCGGCAAAGACGGGAGGCAGGAGCATTGCGTCGGCGGTGATTTTGAGTTAGTGGAAACGCGCAGAGTTAAAGCGCTCTCTGTGTTCTGCAGAAATGTTCCAGTCCTGCCCCCAACGCTCGCGAATGCTGTTCTGGGTGGGTGACTGGATGGATGCATTCGGCTGCGCCAGTCCAGTGCTGGCTTGCTAAGGTTACTGTGGAAATGCTTAATATGACTGTAAAGAGAATTCATGCGTTTGATAAAAAAGTTAATCGAAATGGTAGAGGTTGCTGAAATGTCATACTGAGAGATTTCTTGGCAGACTATGGATTTTTTTGAGACCCCTGTTCCCCAGGTAGTCTAGTCAGTGGTGTAAGTAGTTTGCTATATGTAATTTTTATGTAATGTATCTATGTATGGTTTTACTGTAAATCATGGAAGCAAAGATTCTGGATCCTCAGGGAGAATCAAGCAAAAGTGTGTACAAATCCTTCCAGTGACAGGACAGAGGATTCAGCCTGACTGGAATGGTGTGGCCATTAAGGCATTTTCTACTGTATCTTAGTACACATTCACGAACTCTGCTCATGTCCGTCTGATCAACATACACTTACTGGCAGGAGTTATATGCTAATGAGCATCGTATATTAGATGTGAACACCAAGAAAGCATCCAACACGTGCCTTACTCAACTTTTTGGCACTTTTCTGCATTACTTGTGCATTGTCTAGTGCTACAAATAAGAGAAAATATAGGTGGGGAAAATGGGGGTAAAATTTCAGATTAAATTCCTGGTCCTGAAACCTTGAAACTCTTCATTTAGTACCTTGGGGTATACTTGACAATGTTTCGCGCTTGAGTATATCCCACATCACCGCAGTGTTTGTCTGAGTCCCTCATAATCTCAGGCATATGCTTGTTCACGTAAGAGCCCTGCAGAGAATGAAGGTGCTTTTCTATTTAACAAATGAGAAACGGAGACACAGACTTGCCTACGCCGTGTAAAAAGTATAATTAAACCGGGAAAGTCTACCAATACTTGGTTTAGTGACAGAACCTCAGGATAAATTTTGTCCTAGTGATTGTCATTCAGGGTTTTCACAATTAGTGGACAGTTATTTTTACACAGGGTGTAAGGCAGCAAGGTGTCCTTTTTCCACTGTTTCGTGAATGAGGAACTGAAACACAGATGCAATTAAGACCCAGAGTGTCCACTGATTGTTAGTGCCCTTTTCCAGCATGTGATCTTTTCAGAATATTGGTCAGTTATATTATACTTTCTGCTCTTCTAGAACACAGATCCTCAAATCTCAAATCACCTGCAGAGAAAGTAAGGGACGTGCAGTTTATGCAGAAGAGCTCCCATCCCTGGCTCCTCCAGGTAGAAGTCTTCAATAGAGGCAGAGGTAGAGCTGAACTCTTCAGAACAGAAACGTGAATGGCTTTAACACCGAAATCCTCCTTTTCCTTCTTACGTCTCCGTAGTTTATTGATACTAGACCTTTCAACTTGTGGAAGCAGCGAAGTAGGAAGCCACTGGGTATGGCTGCTTTGACTACACAGCCTGATACTGGTGGAGAAAGTATATGTAGTCGTGTAACGAATGATTAAGTTATACTGCATATGGTAAGGAGTGAATTGCGTCTCCACATGCAAATTAAATAGTTCTCTTACATAATTCCTGAATGATTGACTTTGCAACATGAATAATGTTCTTTAATGTGTGTCTGTGGGTTGCATATAATTTTGTAGGTGAGTTTGGTCCGTCGTTCCCGGGAGCACACGCAGCCTTGATTTGGGTCAGAAGGCTGCACGGTGTCACAGCTTCAGCACGTAAGCTGGAGGATGTGTGCAGCACCAGACAGTGCTGCCAGCAGACACAGGCCTCACAGCTCCACCGGAAAAGATGTGGTTGTATTATCCCCCTCAAAAAAACCCCTTTCAGCTGCCTAAACTTTTGCTGCTTATGTCTTACGTTACCCAAAAGGTTGGGTCCCAGGTTTCTTCCTAATATTTTTTCCTTCTCTGTGGGATTCTTCTCTTCTTTTGTTTGTTTGGTTGGTTGGTTGTTTTTTTCTAGAGAATTTGAGCTTGCAGAACGTGTTTGTTTTTTAAAAGATAAAATGTGTTGTCAGAAATGTTAGGTTCTTAGCAAATAAGCAGACTACCTCTTCATACACGTTTTCTGACTTTTTTGTCCTTATTTAAAATATGCAGTTTTAAGCATCTTCTTCCTGCGTTTATTCAAACTGAAGACCCTCATAAGTGGAAAGCTTAATAGCTAGCGAAAGCTGATGTCTACTGATTTATTTTGCTGGACACTAATTATATTAAAAGAGAAAATAATTTCCTTTAAGTTCTTTAAAATTCAACAGATATGAATGTGGATTTTGGACTCTGTCTTTCTGAGCAAGTTATTTATTATCTGAATAAATAATCAAATAAGAGTTTGATTCCATTCAGGTTGTTCAGTTCAGGGCTGGTGAAAACAGGGCAATGAAGTTTGATCTGAATAATGATGTTTAAATTTAGCTTGAATGGATTTCGTCCTGTTGTACTGAATGTTTTAATTACCTTTAATTTTTCTGAACTTCCACAAGTAAGTCATAACAGATGCTAAATGGACTGAGTAAGAGACACACTTTATAAAAAAGAGCAAATAAAAATGGTGTAAAAAAACTTGTAAGAAAAAATATTTTACGGATGCATCCTTCCTTTGTTATTGAGGGATGTTGATCAGTATTCAGTGAAACTTCACCCTTTTATAGGATTTCCACTGACACTTGTCGCTTTTGATATGTCTAAGCCCTTCAAACATGGTAAGAAATGGAGGAAGCTGTACGCTTTTATTCACAAAATAAATTGAATGGTTCAAGTATGGTTCATAAAAGTTGGCATTCTCTCAAGTCAACAGTCAGAAAACATAATGCCAGCAATTTGTCATGTATATGATGCATCTCTTTCTCCAGATAGAGTTGAGAGAGGTCACTGTATCATGTTCTGGTTTTTGCAAATGCGTTCTTTCATTACCGGTTCACAGTATATTGTCTGAGTTGAACATACTTGGATTTACTCAATATAAACAGCATTTGCAGAAACAGAAGAACACGTCCTTTCCCTGAAGAAGTGAGTGGAATTGCTGCTTGGAAACCAGTCACGTAGCAACAGACTGATTTCTATTCCAAAACTCTTTCCAAAACAAAAGGTAAGTACTCTTTTGTTGACCTTCAGTGCTAAACCTAATAAAGTATCAGCAATTGCCGCATAGGAGAATGGTCTTTGCTCAGTGTGTATTGTTTCTTTCAAAATTTAGACAGCCTTCAAACTTTCTCTCAGTGCAAATGGAGTGATTTCAGATCTTCCTGAAAGTAACACAGATTACTGGAGTTGTGAAGACATACGGAATTTTCAGAAAAAAAGAATGAGTAATTCTAAGTAATCGTTTGGGTTGTTGTTTTTTTTTTTTTTTTTTTTTTCTATTCTTGCTTTCTTAAGACTTAATTCAAAGAAGAACAAAGAAGAAATTGTTTCTGTTTCTGGTTTTGAGTATCACTTGGGTAGTATATATTTGCAAAGAATTTAATGCAGTAGTGATTATTCTAATCACTCATTTGAATTGCGTATCTGTCAAATGTCAAAGATGACCAAAAAGTGCAGTCAAACCATAGAGCTTGTTCAGATCTGATGCTGCAGTTTTGTGTGCCAGTAGCTGTGAATGGTTATGCTATGTTCACAAAGTATATTAACAGCTATAGTGTACCTTTCTCAAGCTTTAATCATCAAAATTAAAAAAAAAAAATTTCATTTTAAAATGTGATAAACAGAGGAGTTCAGGTTTCAAGGATGCTCATTTTAATAAAATTAGCTCCAAAGATAGAATATGTAACTTTCCCCTGGCCATTTCTACCTGACTGCATACAGATTTGCAAAAGGAATGTTGTTTTCAAATACTCCACTGTAACAAAGTAGCGGTTTGTTATCTTTACAGAGTACTTTGATCTTTAATTATAGGAATATCAGGACTGTGTGGAGACCAAGGTGTTATCCTGGAAAAGTAGGAGTGGACCTCCCTCAAATGTTGGCATTCTGTAACTTGAAAAGCTTTTTAGAGATTACAGGAAATCTTGTTAGAACTCAACAGGCAGGACCTGGAAAGGCTACACTGGTGACTGAAGTGGGCTGGAAGCAGAATTTGTGTGTTCTCTGAGTGGAAGGGCGTCAGGTTGAGCCTGTGGGTCTGTTAAGTCCTACCTCAAATCTTTTGCTGTTCATTATGAGGATGGGGATTTCTTGAGGGTCCCTGCTCATTACGAGGATTTTAGTGCTGTAGTTGTGGTTTTTTATAGCTGCGAATCTCTGTGTTTAATTGTATAGGCAGCCCCAAATCTGTGTTTTCATATCTCATTTTAAGTGCCACGTGCCTGATCTTTCATTGTTGCAGTAGCTGTTGCTGGAGGTACCCAGGTGATATTTCTGGTTCCTATCCAAGATAATCTAGTATGCTTCCTTTTTAAATAGCATGCTTTTCAATTAAGATCAAAGTTTTTGTTTAACATGTTGGGCAGGGCTCTGCTCAGTGCCAGGAGGATAATGACTACTGATTAACAGCAGTTTGATACAGGTAAGGGCATTTAGATAGGCAACATAAAATTCACATCTCATAAGGTCTCCCTGGGTACATGAGTGTAAAGCTGTCTGCTTCTTGATACTCTTTCGTTTTGCATTAATAAAACCTCATAAAGCATGAGGCATTCTTGGTTCTCCCCTTCAGCCTCTCTCCTCAAGCAGAAGAGATCCTGTATTTGTTGTAGTTCTGGGGGATCTGAAGTGAAATAT